GTTTTTATATATTCTTTTTGAATCTATAATACTATGAGATTTTATCACATATATGAATTTATTAAATTATCACTGCTATCAGAATACAAAATAGTTTTATCATCACAAATACTCTCCCTCAGGCTATAATTTTTTTAGTTAGACCTTCCCCTAACTTTAACCTTAGACAACCACTGACTTGTTCTTGATCAATTTGTCACTTCAAGAGTGTTATAAATAGAATCATACATGTATAACTATTTGAGATTCAAACAGCATAACACCATAGAGGGCCATCCAGATTAGTGTTTGGGTTAGTAATTTGTTCCTTTTTTGATGGCTTATGGTATTTACTTGTATGAATATGCCACATTTTGCCATATACCATATACATTTGCTCATTGAAGGACCTTTGGATTGTTTCCTGCTTTAGCCTGTTAGAAATGAAGCTGCTATGAATATTCCTGTACAGTTTTTTTTGTGTGGGCGTTTAGCCTAAACATTTCTCTAGGCTAAATATCTAGTAGTATGATGGTGGCTAGATTATATAGTCAGTGTAAGTTTTGCTTTACAAGAAACTGACAAGCTGTTTTCCAGAGTTGCTGTGTTATTTTACAGTCCCATAGCAATGTATAAAAGATTCAGTTGCTCTAATTGTTGTAACAGTTGGTATTATAAGTACTTTTAAAATTTTAGCCAGTTTGTAGATCTCTAGTGCTACTTCATCATGTTTAAATTTGCATGTCTTTAATGTCTGACGATGCTGAATATCTTTTTCCTCTGTTTCCTCTTTGGTGAAATGTCCATTCACATCTTTTATTCAGTTTTTTATGGGATTGTTTGTTTTCTTACTGTTGAATTTAAACACTTCTTGATACTTTCTGGAGATAAGTCATTTGTTGAGTATGTGTTTTGCAAATATTTTTTCTGAGTCTGTTTCTTGTATTTTCATCTTCTCATCAGGAAGTTTTTTTTTTTAACTTTTTATTTTGTATTGGAGTATAGCTTATTAACAATATTGTGATAGTTTCAGGTGCATAGCAAAGCTACTCAGTCATACCCATACATGTATCTGTTCTCTCCCAAACTCCTCTCCCATCCAGGTTGCCACATAACATTAAGCAGAGTTCCCTCCTCAGGAAGTTTTCATAACCAAAGTTTTAAATTTTGAAAGAGTCCAGTTTATCTAATTTTTCTTTTATGGATTGTTATGGCTTTTATGGCTCTTTTATGGATTGTTAACATGGCTCTTCATGTTGTATGTAAGTCACAATATTTTTCCTCTTATATTTGCTTTTAACAGTTTTAGTTTACATTTTAGATTTAGATTTATGATCAGTTTTGATTTAATCAAAAAATAAAGTGTGAGATTTAAGTTGCAGCTAATTTTTTTTTGTTTGGTAGGAGTCCAGTTGTTTCAGTCATACCATTTATTGGAAATGCCATTTTGAAAGGATCCAAAATCACCACTGAATTGTTCTTGATTCTTCCTCTGTGATCTCAGTTCTGTTGGTAACCCTATCCAGTGATTTTTCATTTTGGTTATTTTATTTTTTAGTTATAAAATTTTCATTTGCTTTTTCAATTACCAATCCCATGGATGACAAGTTTATATCTACAGTTCAGATATCTCTGAGATTCTTACCTCTTTATCAATTGCCTATTTGATATTTCCTCCTGAAAGGCACATCAAGCTCAATATATACAAAATGGAAATATCTTCTAAATCTATCCATTTCTATCTCCACTAACACCACAAGGTTACTTTTGTCTTTCATATGATTGTAGTAACATCTGATTTGGTCTTCTCATCCCACTTTGGCCCTTCTTCAAACTCTCATTTACTTGCAGTTAGAGTTATTTTTGGTTCAAAGTGAAAATCTAATCATGTCTCACTAAAAACCTTTTGTTGGGTTTTCAATTGGCAAAGATTAAAGACAAAATTTAACAGTTCAGTCGCTCAGTCATGTCCAACTCTCTTCGACCCCATGTCCTAAAGGTTCTAAATAGTGTACCTTCTGGCCTGCTTCTCCAGCATTGTTTTGAACTATCTTTGCTATTGGTTTTTGTGCTCTGGCCACACAGGGCTTCTGTCAGTCCCTGTTACTGACTGTGTTTGTGCTCATCAAGATGCCTTTGCAGTCCTATCCTACTCTTCTCTTTCCTCTGTTTCTAATGCTTCCTATTCCTCCTTTAGTTCTCAGTTTAAGCAGTACTTTCTTCGTTTAAAATAAGTCTCTTAAAATTAAAAAAAATTGAAGTATAATTTATTTACAATGTTGTGTTAGTTTCTGGTATACAACAAAGTGATTCATTTCTACATATATGTATATATATATATTTTCATATTCCATTATAGTTTATTACAAGATACTGAATATAGTTCCGTGTGCTATATCATAGAACCTTGCTTATTTTATGTATAGTAGCTTGTATTTGCTAATCCCAAACCCCAAATTTATCCCTCCCTTCCCCTTTCCACTTTGGTAACCACAAGTTTGTTTTCTCTGTCCCTGAGTCTATTTCTGTTTTGTATACAAATTCGTTTGTATATTTTAGATTCCACAAGTGATATTTGTCTTTCTGTGTCAAGCAGTGCTTTATTAAGATTATGCCTTCCTTGACCTAGGAAGAAATGTTCCTATTACAGGTCATTTTAAGAATTATGCTTATTAGAATTGCAATTTTACATGTTTTATTATTGGATTAATGTCTTTCTACTTGGAGTAAGTTTCCATGAGGGCATGAATTGTGCCCATCACTGCATTTTCAGCACCCAAGGCAATGCTTGGCATGTAATAGGCACTTGATATGTTTGCTCAATGAGTCAATCAAAATGGAGTACTAAAGTATGCAGTTGGAAATATAAGCTTGGATCGCACAGAATTAAAAAATGAACTCTACATTGACCTTATAATGGTTATTGTAGGAAGTCTCTCAAATGCAGTATAATTATTATAGGGATAGTGCAAAGCCATTATTTATTACATCTCAATGGTTCACAAATAATTTAGTATCTTTCTTTTTCTGGATTCCCCTTCTTCGATCAAGGTGCCGTCATCTTATCAGTTATCCAGTGTCAAAAAACCTGGGGTCCTCTTTGAGTTTATCCATGTCATATACATTCCGTTAGTTGTCAAAGTTAGTTCATTTCCTTTTCAAAATGATTCTCACATCTGTTTCTTTTATTTTATCGAATCACTCCCAAATTAATTTAGGCTCTTATCTTTTTATGGCTATGTCACTACAATATGTGCTTCCCTGGTGGCTCAGTGGTAAAGAATCTTGCTACCCAGGTGGCACTAGTGGTAAAGAATCTGCCTGCCAGTGCAGGAGACATGAGATGTGGGTTTGATCTCTGGGTTGGGAAGATCCCCTGGAAGAGGGCACGGCAGTACGCTGCTGTATTCTTGCCTCTAGAATCCCATGGACAGGGGAGCATGGGAGCTATAGTCCATGAGGTCGCAAAGAGTCAGTTATGACTAAAGCAACAGCATGCATGCACCAGTGCAGGAGATGTGGGTTTGATCCCTAGGTCGGGAAGATTCCCTGGAGAAAGAAATGGCAACTCATTCTTGCCTGGGAAATCCTATAGACAGAGGAGCCTGGCAGGCTACAGTCCATGACACCATGAAGAGTTGGGCACAACTTAGTGACTGAACAGCAACAGCAACAACAGTCACTGTAGTAGTCTTCTACTGATCTCAGCCCCCTTTCTCTTGTCCAAACTACCAAATTACTCTTTTTGCAAGTCATCCCAGCTTATGTTGGTATTTCTGTTGCCTATCAAATAAATAAAATAAAAGCTCAAATCCCTCAAGAACCCTGGTTTTAAATTCCAACCTTATTTTCTTCTGATAGCCTCAGTGTTTGGCAAATTTCAATCATTCAGATCCCGTCATCTTTTTTGCCCTATCTAAGAAGATGTGTACTATTTTCTATTCAATATTTTTCCTTAAATTAACTCACCTTTTTACTGAGTCTCATCCTAATCTATAATTTCTTCAAAGTCAAGGGCTTGATGTGTTTGATACACTTTTTCCCTAATTCTTATGATAAATATTAAATGTTACTGTTACAATGTTTACTTGGGTACCACCTGAAGTTGTCTTATATGTTAGTGGTGGTCTGGGGACTACACTTTGGGGAACTTTGCTATATACAAATTCTCTACTCTACTCCCTGCCTATAGAATATATTTTTCATGTCTAATCTTTTTTTTTGTTTTTGTTCCCTCACTTCCTTTCCCAGTCAATTCAATTTAGTAAATGTTGTGGCAGGTACTGAGGATGAAGATAATGGTAAGATACTGATTTTCCTTTTTCTTTCAAGGAGTTTATACTTTGTTAGAGGAATTACTAATCCACGGGCCTCAAACAATATACAAATCTTACTTGTCTTTTTTGTGATGACCAGCTCAAATTTTACTGCCTATTAGAGTCCTTCATGTATTACCTCTGTTCAAAGAGATTTTTCTTTCCTGAATTTTTCCTGTTGTATTTGACTTTCTGAATCATGTTTTGATATTTGTCTTTTAATATTGTTTTAGTATTCTCATATTTATATTTTGATGAGATATTCTTGCATTCCTCTATGGATGTTGCATTTAGTAGAGACTAAACAGTTTTAGGCAATACCTAAATAAGGAAGTAATACCTAAGTACCTAAGTAAGGAAATACCATACTTAGTTGAGAAAAAGAGTTTGACATTTCTTTATCAGGGTTTTATTTCAGAAAAACTGTGTTTTGTTGACAATTATACATAATAGACTTACATTTTGAAAAATTTACATTTGGAAGCTGAAGTTTGAAATTGAGAGATCTAAGAAGATGAAATTTATGAAGGATTTTTTGCCAGGTTGCAAGCAAAGAAGCAGAAATTTTGTGGCTAAAGAAATGTGAGGAATCTATCATTTTAATTGATAGTGTAAAAGACTGGAAGCTAGTTTTGAAGTTGATAGTATTGGAGTGAAATTACTCAATTCTGTTTGTTAGTTTATAAAATCTGGTGCTGTTTTTCATCAGTGTGACTTTTTACTGTCCTTTTTCTGCCTGGAACTTTTTCTTTGGTTTATATCCTTGTCCTCTTTGCTCATTTTTATTTTATCTCTTTTTTTCATAGAATCTCCTTTGATATTCTTGCTCTTTTTGTCCTCATCTCTCTTTATGTCCTTGTCTTTTATCTTGTCCTCAAATCCCTTTGTGTCTTTGTCCTCTGTCTTATTCTCATCTCCCTTCATGTCCTTGTCTTCTGCCTTGTTCTCAGCTCCCTTCATGTCCTTGTCCTTATCTCCCTTTATATCCTTGACTTTTATCTTTTCCTCATCTCCCTTTACATCCTTGACTTCTATCTTGTCCTCATCTCCCTTCATGGCCTTGTCCTCTGTCTTTTCCTCATCTCCCTTCCTGTCCTTGTCCTCTGTCTTTTCCTCATCTCCTTTCATGTCCCTGTCCTCTGTCTTGTCCTCATCTCCCTTCCTGTCCCTGTCCTCTGTCTTGTCCTCATCTCCCTTCCTGTCCTTGTCCTTTGTCTTTTCCTCATCTCCCTTCCTGTCCTTGTCCTTTGTCTTTTCCTCATCTCCCTTCATGTCCTTGTCCTCTGTCTTTTCCTCATCTCCTTTCATGTCCCTGTCCTCTGTCTTGTCCTCATCTCCCTTCCTGTCCTTGTCCTTTGTCTTTTCCTCATCTCCCTTCATGTCCCTGTTCTCTGTCTTGTCCTCATCTCCTTTCATGTCCCTGTTCTCTGTCTTGTCCTCATCTCCTTTCATGTCCCTGTCCTCTGTCTTGTCCTCATCTCCCTTCATGTCCTTGTTCTCTGTCTTGTCCTCATCTTCCTTTATATCCTTGACTTTTATCTTATCTTCATCTCCCTTCATGTCCTTGTTCTTTGTCTTATCCTCATCTTCCATCTTGTCTTTGTTCTTGTTGCTATCTTCATCTTCTTTCTTGTCCTGGTCCTCCCTGTCTTCATCTCCCTTCTTGTCTTTATAATCTGTGTCCTCGTCTCCCTTCTTTTTCACATTCACCCTTCGTTCCCCAGTTTCACCTTCATCTTTTATACTATGTCCTTTCTTTGATTGGCCCTTTTCTATTTTATTTCCCTTGTCCATAACCTCCCTGATACCTTTTCTTTTTTCATCTTTTACTCTCTTCCCTTCTTTACTCAGAGTTTTCTCAGGAAGCTTTTCAACTTTCACTTCAGGCTTCGGTTTTTGTCCCTTTTCATAGTTCTCCTCAGGGCCACTTAAATCTCTTTTATGCTGGTATTTAGGACCACTTTGGCTAATTTGTGGTGGGACTACTTGAATTCTCAAATAAATATCCTGTTTTGGGGTAGTTTTTCTTGTTTCTCCAGTGCCACTTTTTGCTTCTGTTTTTGAACATTCTCTCAAATTACCTGAAAATATAACAGAGCATATAATAAAAGTACATAATTAACATCTTAAGTAATTTTGATCTTTTCATATCAAACATTTTTGCTTTGGGTTAAGCTTGAGTCATTAAATTTGCCTTCCCAATAATATAAAATTTGTGAAGCTGTACACACACAAAGGGTTAGATAAGAGGTCCTTGAAATGCAGTATCTTTTCAAGTATTGAATTGAGAAAAGGGAAAAATACAACACAAGAAATTGGTAATTGCTCAGTAGAATATAGCTGGAGTATATGATTAAAATTAAAAAGAGATGTAAACTGAATAGGAGAACTTTTCCTGAGAAAATTATTATATAATATTTATGATTCCTTAAGAAAGTTCCATCTCCCTTTGAGTGATAACAATTGCCAAACTAGCATTTTGAAAGACTGTGAAGCTGGAACTTTCCTTAGCTGTCTCACAGGTTTTCAAGGATTCTGCATTAAAAATAATTTAGAAATGGTAGCATTACTTAAGGTAGGAAAACAACTGGTTCTTATAGTATATAAGCATATGACAAATACATTGAGATTACTACAGTGATCTTTTAATTTAAAAATATTTAACAGTTATATGTCAATAATATTGATTGATAAGATCATTTAAATGTTTACATAAATTCTATTTATAAAATCTCATAATTTTATAACAATCTCATATTAAATATTATTTTCAAATTTTAATTATTATAAATAATGCTGTGTTAAACCAGCTAATACATATACCTTTGAAAAGCTGTCCTAGTTTTTCTTAGAAAACATTTCTGGAAGTATAAATTCTTAGTCAAAGGGTATGTACATTTTGTATTTTGAAACATTGCCAAATGTACTCTTGAAAAGTTAAACCTTAATATCAATAGGGCATAGAAACAGAAATTTGGCCAAACTCTAAAAACATTATACTCTGTAAACCTTTTCAATCTTTCTCAAACTGATAGATTAAAACAAAAGAGCTCCTCTTTATCTGTATTTTTAAAATTAACTCATGTTTTTGTATCTTTAGCATTCTTTCTGTATACCCAGCTCATTTATTTTTAGATTTCTCCATCTTTTTTATTACTTGATATGTTTTAGAGAACATTTTTTAGAACTTACCAAGAAGCTATAAATGTTTGGCTTAAATAAACCAAAGAAATAATTTAGATTAAACTTCTGGATCAGCTACTGAGTCATTATTTAGACCATAAATTATTTTCCTGAGAAATGACAAAACACTTTCAGTTATATTGAAATGTATCATAAGTTCAGTATTATGACTTTAAGAATGGCTTTGGTTTTTGGGATTTTATGAACCCTCAATTTGGTAGGCTTCAGGGACAGTTGGGTAAGTGGAGCTCATTCTAATTTTTTTTCAATTCTTTGCTCTATCAAGAATTGAAAGCTTTCTTTTGACTGGTATTTGCAAATTTAAGTCCTTCCTTTCCTTTCTTTGCTTAGCTACATCTGTCTCTTTATTCTCTGCTACCTCCTCATTTTTGTTTGAATCACTGAATACTGTTTTTCAAGAAGAATGCCAATTTTTCTGATAAATAATTTTATCAATATATTTTCCCTTCATATTTATTTTCCTTTCAGTTATAAAGAGTTAGTATTTTTTTTTTAAGTGGCACTAATCCCACAGCAAGGGAAAGGAAGAATTATGTGGTCTCCTCTTCTGCCTAAGTGGTAGTACTAAGCTATTCTGTTGTTCAAGACCAAGGTGTTTCTATATGAAGAAAATGGAAAGGGAAATTATTGATATAAGTACTTACTATAAACTTTTCTAAAGTTAAAAGTTTCTTTTTAATCTTTTATTCTTGAATATGGTATATATTTAATATTGATAATCTTCTTTTCTTAAGAACATCAGTGGTCTACATCCCAGGGCCATCAAATCCTCTATGATATTTGCTGGGGTTGGTAAAGAATATGCTTGCAATGCAGAAGACCCCAGTTCAATTCCTGGGTTGGAAGGATTATCTAGAGAAGGGATAGGCTACCCACTCCAGTGTTCTTGGGCTGCCCTTGTGGCTCAGCTGGTAAAGAATCTGCCTTCAATGCAGGAGACCTGGGTTTGATCCTCCGGTTGGGAAGATCCCCTGGAGAAGGAAAAGGCTACCCACTCCAGTATTCTGGCCTAGAGAATTCCATGGACAGTCCATGCATGCGTGACTTTCACTTTCAACTTTAGTTGCAGTAGAGATAGACCTTAAGAGGGCTGGGAAGGAGACTACTGCTTCTCCTCAACAAGTGCCTTTTTCCCTTCACTATTTTACTTGGAATTAAAACCTGAAAAGCATTGTAACTGTTGTCTTTAGACCACAGTTTCCTAAATTTGACAGTTAATTTCTTTCAATTTAATTTTTAACTTCTTTTCTTTTTAAAAACATTTAATTAAAACCAGGAGATACTTTATTTCCTGTTTTTTCATTTTGTGATTTAAATATTTTACTTCCCCGAAATTCCTCTATGAACTGTGGGAATTCTGGGTAAAATGGAAAGAAAGGAGACTGAGATAGGGGAGTCTGAAATGAGATAGACAGTCTGAATTGGAAGTAGACATTTTGTGAAAAGTTCCCTGGATCCTGCAGGAGATTAATACATATTAGAATTGACAAATGCCAAGACACTTACTTGAGGGTGCTGAAGCTGCTTCTAAAAAACAAAACCAAAAATTATTTAGACAAAATCCAACATATGTTTCAAAAATATATTGTTTACTTTCATATTCTTCCAGGAAGGATGCTTTAAAATGGGACATTTGCAGAGCACTAAACCAACCTTGTTTGTTTTTAAAGCAATCTGCTAACTTTATGGATCTGGAGGAAGGATAGGAAAGATAGCACCTATGCCACATTTCTCCATGTGTTTTCACTGTTTTTCAACATTTGAAGTTTCTCTCCCTTTTTAATTCTTTCAGTTTTCCTCATGTAATCTCCTCCTGCTCTCTTCCTTATCCTAGGAAATCTGTCTGTTCTTTGCTATTAAAAAGTTTTTTTTTGAACTTGTGTCACAGAGTCAATATATTGCTGACAAATTGGCTTAACAGTTTCTCTATGGGCAATGTTATCACAAATCATATGGAATATCTTTTTTTCTGTTAGTAAAGAATATCTACTTTAAAAATTATCAGTAATCTATCATATTTCAGAGCAATTGGAAGTCTTTGTAAGTGCTAGAAATGGTAGCCCTTAAATATTATGGAAGACAGAAAAATACCCTGGGAATAAAACAACAAAGGAGCCAGTGAGTATCACTGATTCTTCCCAAAGGAAAATACTACCATTGGAGGTCCCTTTGTCTGCGAGTGTTGAATATAAATTATTTTTTCAAAAAACCAGCTTTTAGCTTTGTTGATTTTTGCTATGGTCTCTTTAGTTTCTTTTGCATTTATTTCTGCCCTAATTTTTAAGATTTATTTCCTTCTACTAACCCTGAGGTTCTTCATTTCTTCCTTCTCTAGTTGCTTTAGGTGTAGAGTTAGGTTATTTATTTGACTTTTTTCTTGTTTCTTGAGGTAGGCCTGTAATGCTATGAATCTTCCCCTTAGCACTGCTTTTACAATGTCCCATAGGTTTTGGGTTGTTGTGTTCTCATTTTCATTCATTTCTATGCATATTTTGATTTCTTTTTTGATTTCTTCTATGATTTGTTGGTTATTCAGAAGCATGTTGTTTAGCCTCCATATGTTTGAATTTTTAATAAATTTTTTCCTGTAATTGAGATCTAATCTTACTGCACTGTGGTCAGAAAAGATGACTGGAATGATTTCAATTTTTTTGAATTTACCAAGACTAGATTTATGGCCCAGGATGTGATCTATTCTGGAGAAGGTTCCGTGTGCACTTGAGAAAAAGGTGAAGTTGATTGTTTTGGGGTGAAACGTCCTATAGATGTCAATTAGGTCTAGCTGGTCCATTGTGTCCTTTAAAGTTTGTGTTTCCTTGTTCATTTTCTGTTTAGTTGATCTATCCATAGTTGTGAGTGGGGTATTAAAGTCTCCTACTATTATTGTGCTACCATTAATTTCCTCTTTCATACTTGTTAGTGTTTGCCTTACATATTGCGGTGTCCTATGTTGGGTGCATATATATTTATAATTGTTATATCTTCTCCTTGGATTGATCCTTTGATCATTATGTAGTGTCCATCTTTGTCTCTTTTCACAGCCTTTATTTGAAAGTCTATTTTATCTGATATATATTATTTTTTTTGAAAAAATAAACAAAATTGACAAACCATTAGCAAGACTCATTAAGAAACAAAGGGAGAAGAACCAAATTAACAAAATTAGAAACAAAAATGGAGAGATCACAACAGACAACACTGAAATACAAAGGATCATAAGAGACTACTACCAGCAGCTCTATGCCAATAAAATGGACAACTTGGAAGAAATGGACAAGTTCTTAGAGAAGTATAACTTTCCAAAACTGAACCAGGAAGAAATAGAAGATCTTAATAAACTCATCACAAGCAAGGAAATCGAAACTGTAATCAGAAATCTTCCAGCAAGCAAAAGCCCAGGGCCAGATGGCTTCACAGCTGAATTCTACCAAAAATTTAGAGAAGAGCTAACACCTATCTTACTCAAACTCTTCCAGAAAATTGCAGAAGAAGGTAAACTTCCAAACTCATTCTATGAGGCCACCATCACCCTAATTCCAAAACCAGACAAAGATGCCACAAAAAAAGAAAACTACAGGCCAATATCACTGATGAACATAGATGCAAAAATCCTTAACAAAATTCTAGCAAACAGAATCCAACAACATATTAAAAAAATCATACATCATGACCATGTGGGCTTTATCCCAGGAATGCAAGGATTCTTTAATATCCGCAAATCAATCAATGTGATACACCACATTAACAAATTGAAAGATAACCATATGATTATCTCAATAGATGCAGAAAAAGCCTTTGACAAAATTCAACATCCATTTATGATTAAAACTCTCCAGAAAGCAGGAATAGAAGGAACATACCTCAACATAATAAAAGCTATGTATGACAAACCCACAGCAAGCATCACCCTCAATGGTGAAAAATTGAAAGCATTTCCCCTGAAATCAGGAACAAGACAAGGGTGCCCACTCTCACCACTACTATTCAACATAGTTTTGGAAGTTTTGGCCACAGCAATCAGGGCAGAAAAAGAAGTAAAAGGAATCCAGATAGGAAAAGAAGAAGTGAAACTCTCGCTGTTTGCAGATGACATGATCCTCTACATAGAAAACCCTAAAGACTCTACCAGAAAATTACTAGAGCTAATCAACGAATACAGTAAAGTTGCAGGATATCAAATTAACACACAGAAATCTCTTGCATTCCTATACACTAACAATGAGAAAACAGAAAGAGAAATTAAGGAAACAATACCATTCACCATTGCAACAAAAAGAATAAAATACTTAGGAGTATATCTACCTAAAGAAACAAAAGACCTATACATAGAAAACTATAAAACACTGATGAAAGAAATCAAAGAGGACACAAACAGATGGAGAAATATACCATGTTCATGGATTGGAAGAATCAATATTGTCAAAATGGCTATACTACCCAAAGCAATCTATAGATTCAATGCAATCCCTATCAAACTACCAACGGTATTTTTCACAGAACTAGAACAAATAATTTCACAATTTGTATGGAAATACAAAAAACCTCGAATAGCCAAAGTAACCTTGAGAAAGAAGAATGGAGCTGGAGGAATCAATCTGCCTGACTTCAGGCTCTACTACAAAGCCAGTCATCAAGACAGTATGGTACTGGCACAAAGACAGAAATATAGATCAATGGAACAGAATAGAAAGCCCAGAGATAAATCCACGAACCTATGGTCACCTTATCTTCGACAGAGGAGGCAAGGATATACAATGGAAAAAAGACAACCTCTTTAACAAGTGGTGCTGGGAAAACTGGTCAACCACTTGTAAAAGAATGAAACTAGAACACTTTCTAACACCATACACAAAAATAAACTCAAAATGGATTAAAGATCTAAATGTAAGACCAGAAACTATAAAACTCCTAGAGGAGAACATAGGCAAAACACTCTCTGACATAAATCACAGCAGGATCCTCTATGACCCACCTCCCAGAATTTTAGAAATAAAAGCAAAAATAAACAAATGGGACCTAATGAAACTTAAAAGCTTTTGCACAACAAAGGAAACTATAAGCAAGGTGAAAAGACAGCCCTCAGATTGGGAGAAAATAATAGCAAATGAAGCAACAGACAAAGGATTAATCTCAAAAATATACAAGCAACTCCTGCAGCTCAACTCCAGAAAAATAAATGACCCAATCAAAAGATGGGCCAAGGAACTAAACAGACATTTCTCCAAGGAAGACATACAGATGGCAAAAAAACACATGAAAAGATGCTCAACATCACTCATTATCAGAGAAATGCAAATCAAAACCACAATGAGGTACCATTACACGACAGTCAGGATGGCTGCTATCCAAAAGTCTACAAGCAATAAATGCTGGAGAGGGTGTGGAGAAAAGGGAACCCTCTTACACTGTTGGTGGGAATGCCAATTAGTACAGCCACTATGGAAAACAGTGTGGAGATTTCTTAAAAAGCTGGAAATAGAACTGCCATATGACCCAGCAATCCCACTTCTGGGCATACACACCGAGGAAACCAGATCTGAAAGAGACACGTGCACCCCAATGTTCATCGCAGCACTGTTTATAATAGCCAGGACATGGAAGCAACCTAGATGCCCATCAGCAGATGAATGGATGAGGAAGCTGTGGTACATATACACCATGGAATATTACTCAGCCATTAAAAAGAATTCATTTGAATCAATTCTAATGAGATGGATGAAACTGGAGCCCATTATACAGAGCGAAGTAAGCCAGAAAGATAAAGACCATTACAGTATACTAACACATATATATATGGAATTTAGAAAGATGGTAACGATAACCCTATATGTAAAACAGAAAAAGAGACTCAGATGTATAGAACAGACTTGTGGACTCTGGGAGAAGGCGAGGGTGGGATGTTTCAAGAGAACAGCATCGAAACATGTATATTATCTAGGGTGAAAGAGATCACCAGCCCAGGTTGGATGCATGAGACAAGTGCTCGGGCGTGGTGCACTGGGAAGACCCAGAGGGATTGGGTGGAGAGGGAGGTGGGAGTGGGGACCGGGATGGGGAATACATGTAAATCCATGGCTAATTCATTTCAATGTATGACAAAAACCACTGCAATGATGTAAAGTAATTAGCCTCCAACTAATAAAAATAAATGGAAAAAAAAAGAATATAAATTATACTGATAATCTTCTGTTCTCCCTTCCTTCCTTCATTCCCTCAATGGTTCATTCAACAAATAGTTATTAACCATCCATCATGTTCAGGCACTGTGTCTGGGACAAGGGATCCCATTTTGATTGAGAACAACAGGTTCTCTGTCTTCCAGGAGCTTCTAGATGGAGCATCAGGCATAAACTTTAGGCTGTATGCAGAGATGTTTCACGTCTATTTAGGATAAAATTAAAGTTCACAATGAAATAGTACCATTGAGTCCATAAATACATATTTTTATACCTTTAATTTACTGTTCAGTTGAATAAACAAACATCAATAGGAAAACTAGAAATATTTCAAAGGCATAAAAATGATAGAAATCTGGTCTTAGTTTAGACATGGCCATGCACAGGCAGCTCAGTTTCCATTCTAAAATCAGATCCCAGATTATTTTATAAAGCAAAGCTCAGTTTGCTTTAGCACTCCTCAATAGGGAGTTGAAATTCAGGCCCTCCTAAATGTAAGCATTCATTTAAATTTTCTTCCTTCCATTTGTTTTCTCACTGATTCATCTTTTCCTTTACTCTTTTCATAAAACACATTTAAATGGGAAATGTGCTTTATTTATTACTTTCAGGCTAGTACATGCTTCATGGTGAGTCGCTTAGTCATGTCTGACTCTTTGTGACCCCTTGGACTGTATGGTGAGCCCCACCAGGCTCCTTTGCCCATGGAGTTTTCCAGGCAAGAATAGTGGAGTGGGTTGTCATTTCCTACTCCATGGCATCTTCCTGACCCAGGGATAGAACCCTCTCCTGCATCTGCTGCATTGGCATGTGGATTCTTTACGACTGTGCCACCTGGTAGGAGAGATAAAATTTTAAATTCTGTATTTGTTCTGCTTTTTTTTCTTTTTTCACACAGAAAACTAGAATTTGTAACCTGAAAATAATTTTCTTTTTGGTGCTTCCATTGCTTACAAAGAAAAAAATTTATGTATTTATTTATTTTTTTTTCCATTTGGAGAATGGTTTCTTAGGATAGTATTCCAAAGGGAGATTTTGCATACCTCTGCTGAACTCTTTAAAATCTTTGGTGTAAGCTTGCTAGGATATCTCACTTTAATTTTTTTCCCACAAACACTGAAACCTGTTTCTCTGTCAAAACCCACCTTCTTTCTAATGAGAAAGGCTTTGAATATGAAGTGATCATCTAATCATACAAGTGGCTAGCCTCTGAGCCCTGTTATTACATTGCTTTCAGACTTATTTTTTTCTAAAGTGCCCTTCTGATTATGCATTCTTTGAAAACTTCTAATATCCAAACTTCAAGCATGATTCATAAAGTCCTTCATAACTGAGCTCGACATACTTCTCCAGTCTCCTTTCCTCCTGATGTCAACGCTTCCTGATTCTTCTCTGGATCCAGCATGGAATTCTGGAATCTTCTCTGGATCCAACATGGAATCAGAGGGAGATAAAGTTGAGAGAAAACTTGAGGATGTTGGGTTTATAAAATTTCAGGAATGTTTCTCTCCCTGAGATAGACTTAGAACAAGACATTGCCTGACTTCTATAAAATGTATAATATCTTATCTCAGTCACATCCCAGATGCCTTCACTTCATCCTTTATTAAACTGCTTTATTATTTACAGAAACCAGGGCTTCTCAGAGTTATGAACAAAGTTCTCTATATTTATGATATGGTATTTTGAAATCTGATTTCAGAGTAAACTTATGTGGTGACGACTGTTTCACTGCTGAAGTAAATCACCCAAGGTTCCTCAACTCTTAATTAGGTTTGAACCCTGGCCACTTTGCTCCAAAATCCTTGCCTCTATACTCTGTTGTGTTGTTACCACCCTTCTCCCCAACTCCACATTGACTCCTTTGACACTGTAATCCTAGACTTCCAAATCTCTTTATTGAACTTTATTTACTTGCCATATTTCCTATATGTATAGGAAATATACATATAGGATTTTTTATTTCTCTATTCCTCCCCTTCTCTCCACTTTATTGTTGTTCCACTGTTTGACATTCTTTCAAATGAGAAAGGATCATTAACCTGTCTTCAGTCATAGATCAAGAAGGTGGCAGCTATGTTCTGGGAATCCAGAGTTGACTCCACATCATTTTACCTCTTTCTAAAATCTATAGACCAAAAAAAAAAAAAAAAATAAAATCTATAGACAAATGCAAAGACTATAATATTCCTCCTTTTATAAAATAAATATTTATAGTCAACCATGTTGGAGACAATATGTCCTAGGTACTGGAGATAGAGGTGCTATTCCTATACATTTAGACTTAATAGTTAAGAAAATAAAATCAGTCACATTAAAAGATACATAGTTTTATCAGTGTGGTAGATATTTGGACGAAAGCAGCATTCAGTCTCTCTAAGGTATCAAAACCCTGTAGGAACTACTGAGCTTTTCTTTTATGGAAGTCAGCTTGGTGTGCTGGGAGACCTTAAGAAGCCTGTACTCTGCAGAGAAAAAGCATCATCAATAGAGAGATTAAAATCCTAAATGAGAAAGATAAAGCTGTAGATGTAATAAAAGAAAATAAATAAAAGATCACTTCCAATGGTCTTGGATATAGGGAAGGCCTTCTTAGAATCTCCAAAGCACATGATGTGAAAAGCAAATGTATTTAAATACATCAAAAGTGTTTCTGTTTAACCAAAAACATTATAGACAAGGTTCATGGACATATGGTAGATTGAGAGAAGATGTTTTCAAGACAAAGTCACAGAGTCACTTTCAAGACAAGTCACGAAGAATTAATATCCACTCTGTCCAAAAGACGCTTGATAAATAACAAGAAAGAGATGGGAACCCAAATGGCAAAATGGTCAAAATATATGAATAGGAAAAGGAAAACTTGAATGGCTGGTAAGTATATAAATATGTATGTGAACTCATCAGTAGGCATTGAAAAGCAAAATAAAATAGCAAGGAACTTTCTTGCATCAACCAGAATGGAAAGATTAGAAAGAAATAAAAACAAGTGCTCTTCAGCATAGAAGGTGAAGGGAACATATTCTTAAGAGCTGGGGAGGCTGTAGATTATTACAGTAGTTCTGAAAAGCAATCTAGGAATGAAATTATCTGTATATCTTACCTATCAGTGATACTACTCCAGATTTACCTTCTAGATATATAATTCACAAATTATAAAGAGAACATGCTCTAGTTCTTTGATCTAGATCATTGATAGAGACTTTGCCATCAGTCACAAAGGGGGTGGATAAGTACACTGTGGATCCACTGTGGTGGATGCATACTGGTCAGTGAACAGTATGCAGTAATTAGAAGTTATGATCTGGTATTTTGAAATCTGACTTCAGTGTAAGCTTATGTGGTGGCTACTGTTTCACTGCTGAAGTAGTTAGAAGCAACTAATGATTCCAAGGATAGATTTTGAAAATAAAGTGAGAGCCAACTAACAAGGTGATTTAAAATGACATAAATATATCTTGAAAATAAAGTGATGATACATGAAAAAAGTCAAGGAGTTGGACTAGTGCCTCAGCAATACATTGAGTGGGCCAAAAAGTTTGTTCGGATTCTTTCTGTACTATTATATGGAAAAACCCCAACTTATTTTTTGGCCAACTCATTACTTTAAAAGATAAGTGTAAACACTTATAACTGCTGAAAACACTACGTACTTGAAAGTGATAGGTGTAAACAGACCAACTATGAATAATTAAAGGATGAAGGACATGACAGGGTCACCAGAGGATTTACAAAAGTATAAAAATAATATGAATGCATGATACTAGTGGGTAGGATGCAATAGTGAGGGTAAGGTTGAAGATTCAGCAGAGTGGGATGATTGTTGGAGAGAGAGCTCCCAGAACTGATGAATGGTGGTGGACTCCACATCCAAGGGGGAGGAGCTGATCTTTGATAGGAGAGAGGAGGCTACTGGCTACTACTGTAGTTGGAGGGAAGATAAATGGAAGGCTTCACCTGCAGGTTATTTGGTGGCAGAAATCTGTAATTGCATGTAATATTTATTTTTATTCATCCAACATGATGCGTGGTCCCTGTGGGGAGTGAAAGGTGTGGAGAGATTTTATATTTATTTGTGTCACAAAGATTATTTCAAATAGTTTCTGTGGAGAATGGGAGAGCAAGTGGATGTGGAAACAGTTACTGTGGCCAGTTTTGAGTATCCACTTGAGGTTGTCAGCCATGAGTCAATGGAGGCACATATCTGTATGGCTGGTGTTATTTTTCTGTAGCACCCAGTGTAGGAAGTGTTGGTGTAGAGAAGGAGGATGGCAGAATTAGTCCAAGATTACAAGCAAAGCTGTTCTGATAGATGAAAAGTGGGCCAGAGGATTTGGAAGTATTGTCCTGCAAGTGACAAGAGTGGTGTCTATGGAGTTAGGAAGTAAAGACTGGATAGTGGTAAATGAAGCAGGAGAAATTAGAAAAGTCAAGAAATTAAAGGTGTCAGTGAGGTCAGTAACTGGTGATATGGGATGAAGGCTGCTGCAAAGCTGGAAGTTTGTTGCTGAGAGATAATGAGAACATCAGAGTATCTACTGCCTCATCACTGGGATATGATTTTGTCAGTTTGATTTTTAAAACTTAATTGTTCCCATTTTCTTATCCAAAGTCTTTGTTTTCTGTTTTTCCTCTTTCTGTTCAATTTATTTAAAAAATACCATTCTTCTCCAATTGTGTCCTGTCAACTTGTAAAAACCTGTGGTTCCTCAAAATATTGTACTATCTTTTATTTACTTCTTACTCTCTTGTCTAGCCTCCCAGGTATACCTCTGGGTACTGAGTATAAACTTTAAATGTTTAACAAGTTCTTTCCCCCTCATTTTACACTCTTATTTCTCTATATTCCTCTTTCTGCTTCAATGCATTTAACTTACAACTTTAGTGTAAATTTTCCTCCCCTTTGGTTTGGAATGAGAATAATATCCTTTACAGGTTATTTTTCCATAGATAAGTGGCATTTAATTTCCAGGAATTCAGTAAAATTCTTAACTTGCCCCTCACTGAAAATGACAACCAGCAAAGTTAATAATAGTTCATGTACCCTATAATAGTCCATTACATAAAGTAATTATAAATATGGCAGTGTTACTTACTAGGTGGTGGTGTAGCTTTTGCTGAAATACAAGAGACGTGTTGTTTTAGTCAGTTATGGGTACAGCATATTTTCCCCCTGTTAATCTCCCACTGAGGAATCTTATAACGACAACTAAGCAGCACAAGGATTTCTGTTACAATTATTTTGATGCTGGAATCCCTGTCAACATGATCACTTATGAAGTATGTCTGATGTTCAGTTTTGATGTCTTCAGAGCCTGGCAAATACCTGCTTCTTTCTGTTTCCTCCTTTTATAGTTTTCCCATTTTGCATTCTAGCTTTTCTTACATTTGGTCCTCTTCGTCAGTTACCATCCACTCTTTCAAAAAAGAATGTGTGACTTAAACTATGATTTATTGGTTCTGTTTTTTATTCTTTTTGTTAATCAGTGGAGTTTTGGTCTACAAATTCATTGGCAAATCTTAATTAGCATAAAACTAACTTTAAAAAGATTAGAGATTTCATGAAAAATTGAAAATAAATTACCACTATAGAAATCTATTACAGAATTTTATTTACTTTAATGGATTTAATAATTTAAAGATAGAAAATCAACTTATTAGTTAATTTAGCAAATAATAATTTAGAGAAAAATGTGTTAGAAACAATCTTAATGCATTATATTGTTGTATTAATAAACTACTACATTTAGACATCTAGACTCTTCCTAGATATTAAATATTATATGCAGCTTAGTTCTAAATATATTACTAGAATCTCTTTATGTCCTTTCATAAAAAACATATTATTTTAGTTGTAGTTTTAAACATAAAAAACATATTATTTTAGTTGTAGTTTAAAATTTTTGTCAATTCTAACCCTCTGCCCTCTTCCCATTTCAGCTTAAGCTCCCAAAACTCTTCCTGAGCATTAAGAGCTATCTGAGCATATTTTGTTATAATTGGTCCCTTATCCTCAGTTCTTGAAAATGCTTCAGAACCATAAAGGTAGAATGGGTGTCTTGTTATTCATAATGAACCCCTTTTCACCACATCTGTGTTAGTCACTGAGTCTTGTTCAACTCTTTGTGAACCCATGGACTGTAGTCCGCCAGGCTCCTCTGTCCATGGAATTCTCCAGGCAAGAATACTGGAGTGGGTAGCTATTACCATCTCCAGGGGATCTTTCCAACTCAGGGATAGAACCTAGGTCTCCTTCATTGCAGGTGGATTCTTTACTGTCTTTGTTCAGTTCAGTTCAGTCGCTCAGTTGTGCCCAACTCTTTGCGACCCAATGGACTGCAGCATGCCAGGTTTCCCTGTCCATCACCAACTCCCACAGCTTGCTCAAACTCATGTCCATCAAGTTGGTAATGCCATCCAACCATCTTATCCTCTG